TCTCTATTTTATCTTTGTATCTTATCTCCTTTGTATTTTAACACTACGTTAAATTTCAGTATAAATACAAGCCCAACACACAACGCCTATGTGCCGATTTCTCTCATTCTTGACATATCACTTTAGAAATAAACCCTAACACAGCAAACACACGCTCTTGCAACCTATGATCAAAAAATTGCCTACTTGCAGGTTGCATTTCCCTCAAGATCACTCTCAGCCAAGGGAAGTAATGTCCACATATGTTGCCCATGCCAAGAATCACCGCTATAACTTCTTTAGGCACCCTCCCATGTGAATAGAACAGTGATTAGTAGGAGAGGCAGACAGTGACCTGTTTATTCAAATATCACTAAACCTATTATATCACACCAAGTTACCATCAATTCATGATCTTTTTCCTATGTTGTACATTATATATAATTATATAATAGAGAAATGTATAAGTTTATTGAATTACTTAAAAACCAATTTTTAGTCATTCTATTTGAAGTTTCCTTCATCCTATGAGTCATGCATCCAAATTCAATGGCAAGATATATGCAGTCCAACTTGCTTAAATTTCGAGTATAACATATCTACATCTTTTTTATGATTTTTGGTATACAAGCTCTCTCTAATTTCAAGAAGTGTATTTCTTTGCCTTTTTAATTAAGGCAGAGACAAAGTACATTAATTAGTAAACTACTTTGGAAATGTTCTATCTGTGAATTGTTCACCAAATTAAAACCCTAAAACATGAAGATTATATTTGTTCTTTTAACATGTGGTAAATTAAAGATGAGGTGTTGGTGCATGTTAAGTACCTTTCCGAGTTATTGTACCAAGGGATCAAATTAATAATTTTATATTTCAAATCTCATGGGTTTCATTCTACAACTTGGATTTTAGATTAATTAGAGAATTAGTGGAGTGCCCCTACTTTGTAGGGGCTGGAAGTGCAACATTGCTAATTGCTATATTAAAAAATAAAATTGTTTCTTTAATAAGAAACTTGTAATTATAAGTATTCAAGTCTTGCAACTCATATAAATATTTAAAAGAGATCATCATGTGCTCATTTTTTAAATATTGTTTCAGCAAAGCATCTCATACAAAAGAATACAATCATATAGTGATAGTTCTGAGTTCTACTTCATAGTTGTCCTTTGTTTTACATCGAGAATTCCCAGTTGACCCGGACAGTAGGACCGTTCGGCTCGAGAACCGTACAGGAAACTGGTTCCGTTTTACCCTAAACCCGCTCCTTTGCAAAAAATCATTGAATCAGTCAATGACCCGTTCAACGGTTTTTGGCCATTTTTTATTTTTTAATTTTTGTTGTCAGAACGGGCCATCCATTCGAATCAAACAGTTGAACCATCGACTTGGAAACTGGTGGCCAGGATGGTTCCATTTTTGGGTCGTTTTTTTTAGATGTCAATAATTAGATGAAATAACTTTGTAGTCATAGTCATGGGAAGGGTGGACATTACAAGGGATTCTAAAATCTTGAAAGATAAATCCAAAGTAACCTTAAACACATAAAAAAATTGGCGATAAATCCACAAAACTGGAAAAACCAAGGAAAAAAATCAGAAAATTGAGCCTAAAGTTTGCTTTGAGATGGAACAAAATATACATGCAATCAAAGAAAGAAACAGCATATCGTCTTGTAAGAAAATTAAAAAAATAAACATTGCACAAGAAAACCCAAACAAAAAACAAAAGGGAAGAAATAAAACTATGGTAAACCCTAGGCCATTTTGGAGGATCTTGAAGAAGAAGACCACATACAAAAAAAAAAGCAAAAGCAAAAGGTGAAAAAAAAAAAACATACTGCACACGCTCAAATAAAGCCAACAGTATAACAAACCTTTTAATAGTGAAAATCTAAAGGCACAAAAAGCCATGGTTTTCAAACTGTTGTTGACCCGGACGGACGGACATTTCAGCCTAGGAACCGTCCAGGTAACCAGTTTCGTTTTACCCCAATCTTGGTCCTTGGCCAAAAGCCATTGAATCGATCAATGACCCATTGACCCAGGTGGTCGAATTGTCGACCCATTGACCTGTTCAGTGATTTTTAACCATTTTTTTTATTTTTTTAATTGGGAACCGTCCAGGCAACCGGTTCCATTTTATCCCAATCCCGGTCCTTGGCAAAAAACCGTTGAATCGGTCAATGATCCATTGACTCGGGCGGTAGAACCATCGACCTGTTGACTCGTTCAATGGTTTTTGGCCATTTTTTTTAATTTTTGTTGTCAAAATGGGCCGTCCATTTGAACTGGACGGTTGAACCTTCGACCTGAAAACCAGTGGCCAAAACGGTTTCGTTTTCAGGTCATATGAGTCACACGCTCGAATGACATAACACGTATGATACTGCTTAATGGACCTCACACACTCAATATTTTGCTTGTAATTTTTGTTGCCAGAACGGGCCATCCGTTCGAACCGGATGGTCTAACTGCCATTCTTTTACTTTCTTAAGTGAGAACCATCCAGGCAACCGGTTCTGTTTTACCCCAATCCCAGTCCCTAGCCAAAAAACCGTTGAATCGGTCAGCAACCCATTGACCCAAGTAGTCGAACCTTCGACCCGTTCAATGGTTTTTGACCTTTTTTTTAATTTTTGTTGTCAAAATGGACCGTCCGTCCGTTCGAGCTGGACGATCGAACTGTTGACCCAAAAACCGATGGCTAGAACTGTTCCGTTTTTGGGTCGTATGAGTCACATACTCGAATGACATAACACGTATGATACTACTTAATGGACCTCACACATTTAATTTTTTCCCCGTAATTTTTGTTGTCAGAACGGGTCGTCTGGTCAAATCATCGACTCGAAAACCGGTGGCCAGAGTAGTTTCGTAATTTTTTACTTATAATTTTTGTTGTCATAATGGGTCATTCGTTCGAACTAGACGGTCGAACTGTCAATCTGAAATGAGTGGCAA